TCAGTTCGGCACTTCCGAAATCCGTCATTCGGAAATTCAGCAATTTGGATGCTTCTGAATGTCCGAATTGTCGAAATGCAGTCGAATTTAAATTCGGACCAAAATGAATTGCACATGTCTAGAAAAGAACACTTATCTTTTATAAAATGCTATTTCATCAGAAAAGAATACCGACCTTCCATGAAATGCTATTACATCAGAAAATAACACTGATCTTCAGAAAAGAACCCCGATCTTCTGTCTAATGCAACTCCATCAGAAAAGAACACTGATCTTCCACCCAATGCCACTCAATCCGAAAAGAACATTGATCTTCCACCCAATGTCACTCCATCAGAAAATAACATTGATCTCCCACCCAATGCCACTCAATTAAAATACCTATCCTATGTTAATCCAAGGAAAGACATGAGTGGGTTGGCTTGGGAGGAAGGTATTAGAGCTGGAACCTTACCATGGATATGGAGAAAGAAATGACGATGACATAAAAATCAGAGAGGGAAGGCTGGCATGAAAAAGAAGGTATAAAAGGGGAAGTAACAGAAAATAGGGTGGATAATATTAACATTATAAAAACGGGGAGAGGGCTAATTATCAAAGAAAGGTGGGATTTAAAATGTTATGTGAAAACCTGAAATGTGCTACACATATTTTATATTTAGAAGTAACTCTATACTGATAGTAACTAACTAGTATGTAATTCATTAAGCTGACAACTCTCTACTTATTGTAACTATTCAGAAAGCATTGCAATGAAGCTAAACAGTCATAGCTTTTAAACAGAAAGCAACAAGGACATTCTACTGGGTGTAATCCATTCTCAGATCTTCTACACAACCTAAATAAGTAGCCTGTTGATCAACAAGTTGCTGAGACGCGTATTCTCTGTTAAGGGATCTTGAGTCACAGTTCAGACTCAAGGACTTAAAGAAGAACTCTAAGCTCTCTAATAGCTGATTGTAGTTGTTATGGTGCTATAAGTCACTGAGCAGCATCCCCAAGGTTTTTGTCTAACTGTTTTGATGCAGTTTGCCAAAAATAGAAATATTAACAATACAGGTTGTTTGCTTCCATTGTGGGTTGTAGCCATTCAGGAAAGTCTCCTAAACCCATGTGTGCTCACTACAAGTTTATGGTTGTTTAGAAGAGTTTTGATTGACTAAAGGCTGACTTACTATCTTTTATTGGGAGAATAAATGTAACGTCAATGGACATCAAGCCAATAGGATTGTAAATAATCATAGTTGGCCATAAATAAGCCCTTGAGACTGCCAACAACAATGAAGAATGACAATAATCACTTTATGAAGACACCACTGGAAGGAGACAGCAAATGTTACAGGAATGTGACAACAGGGAACATCAATAGGTTAACAATGAAACAATGGACAATAGAACACTGATTCCACATCCCATTTCACTGATTTTCTCCTTGCTTACAAGCCTACAATTTCAGATTTGTACACCTCTACAGTAAATAATAAAAATTTAATAATTTCTAAACACGCGCTGATTCTATTTGTTTACAAATATTTATAAAATAAACCAAAATTTATTGCAGTTGTGTTAGCTCTTATTATATATTTCTTCAACAGAATTGCTTCAATTTTATTTTGTGCATTGTCAAAGATGATTGTTCTTTATAATTATGCTTGGTCTAATCTTTATCTGCTTTATATATTGCTAGCAACTAGTATTTGTCCTGGCGGTTTATTTTACCTGTTACACCCAAATAAAACAGTAAATCTTTCTCACAACTGTATGGCAAATAGGGTTCTTCTCTTAATAAATTGGTTTATAATGGTGTAACCACCAAACAGTTACGTATTTTGTTATGTGAAAGTGGTACCGAAATTATGACAAAAATTGTGATTTCAATGTAATGAACATCTTTTGATTACATTTTGTTTGAATATAAATCACTTTGTAGCAGACATTGTTACTGGCAAACATTTCCATAAAAACTAATTTTATTTGTGCACACTATTGAGAAATGTTTATAAAATCAAGCACCACATAACGAGCTTAATTTGTGGATTGTTAATAACACCCATATGGTATCATATTCTGCCAAAGTAATCCTTTTAGGATGGGAGCAGTTACATTGCCAAAAATGAATACTAGCAGATTGGGGAAAAAATAAGAAGAAAAACAATCTAGAAACACAGATTCTTTAAATTATGTTCTTCAGTAATAGAAGCAATAATTAAAATGTGTGTTTGATTGAGTTTATCATTTACCTCTCTTCAACAAGGAATGCTTATATTTAAATTATATTCTTTCTGGGGCTGTATCTAAGAAATGCGACACAGATTGCAGATATATTTGTTTAGTTAACATAATCCAAATTATCAGTGATAATGTAAGGAAGGAAATTGGGATATGGGAATAAAAACAGACATAGCAGATTTGAAAGCTAATATTATTAAAAGTAGATATAGGTTTGAGAGGCCTTTTAATTTCTTGCTACATTAGGAGTAATTAAACATTTTCTAATAGCCTTTGCATGCAAATAATTGCAAGTTTACTTTCAGACTCAAAGGAGACAGAGCAGTTTATATCTGACTTGCTAACGTGTGCCAGGCCATCCTTTAACGTTCTGTAAGCCTATAAGGGGAAGAGAATTATGGGATTTTTAAAGCAGTACTCCTAACAACATTCATTTCTGGTACTTGACCCTAAAATGATTCTTCAGTCCATAATGGTCCAGCACCTAATAAAAACCCTTTTCCCAAACTAATTTTTGTGGTGCCAATAATTAATGATTCCAGAGCAAATTGTTCAACCAGGCTCTGAATTTTTTACTAAATTACCTTGTTTGCTGTAGTGTTCCATTGATCCTCCGATTGGGTATGTCTTTCCAACACATTAGTACTGCCTATCATCAGGCTAGCGTTGTTTCAACAATGTGTAAAAACAGGTATACAATTATAATTCATCAGGTTTCTTAAATTTGGTTAGCTCAATGTTTGAATGTTATTCTCTGCAACCATGCCATACTACCTAATAGATATGAGTATCTTTGTGGATTCATTTTGGATTCCAACTTCAAATCCTGTCTATTCTCTATTTTCAATGTCCCAGATTATGAGATACCCTGTGCTGGTTGCCAGTGGTTTTTATCATGAAATCTATCTCCGACCTTGCAGGCTCAGCAATATCTGCAAACATCCAGTGGTTGCAAAACCCAATGAGAGATCTGCTGTTCAAAGAACAGTGGGTTCTCTCCATTGTATCATTATTGAGTACCCTACTACAGCATAATTCTACAGTATCATTCTAGAGTATCCTGACATATTTTCACTATAAATTTTCCAGTAACAGTATAGAAACTGTCACATTAGCCGATGGTACTCACCTATCCCAGGGTGTCCACGACTCCCTTGAGGTCACTCTGCAGAAGCTATAGTGCATGTGGCTGCTGCACTCCAGTCTGCAGCCTCTGTACCTCTATTCACAGCCACAAAACTTGGAGTGATTCCAGCATTCCAAGATGGCAGCCGCTGCACTAAAGTTTGCAGGAATCGATGACCTGCAAACTTTCTTCTTCCTAGGGATAAGCATAACCACCTAGCAAAGCTAGTATGTGGCAGTCACCCGGAGAAATATTTAGCTGCGCTAAAAACGCTCATGCTGTGCTCCTGCACAGCAACAGCATTTTAGCTAATCAGGTGATCAGGACAGCCGTGTAGCTCGCGGCAACCCTGATCACCTCAGATTTTAAAATCAGAATACTGCAGATGGTTAACTAATCCAGAGACAAATAAACCACCTAATGTAGGATAGATATCAATGTACACAGTACTAAACATAATAAAGGAAAATAGCACCACTGACAATGTAAGGGGGATAACAATGATTTATTTACTCAACCAAACATGAACTTACTCCTATGAAAGGGTTATGTCAACAGAGTGGAAAGGCAATATAATAAAGTAACAATAAATAAGAAACATTTCTGAAATACTGACAGTTAATAGTAAACAATCAATCTTTGATCATGAAGGTGAAAAACAAACTGTCTCTGTGAGAAATATTAGTATAGTATAACTCATAATCAAAGAGCTTTTGGGGGGGGGCGTGTCCGGCAGCCGAAGAAGATGGCGGCTTAAACCCGGAGCTCCTCGTGGCGCCCGCACTAATCGCTCCACACAAGCCGTCCCAGCACACCCACACACCGCAGATGGGCCGCGCAAAGAGGCAGACAGACCCTGGCAGCACCCCAGACCCCCGGGACACGGGGGAGATCAAACGATCCGGTCATACCTGCAGGCTGCGCCCCGGGCGCGGACACCGCAACGGGAGATGGAGGCCGCAAGCCAGACACAAACACAAAAAACCCTACAAAAAACAAAACAAAAACAAAGGGGCAAGACGGCCGACCGAAACTCAGACGCAGCGACACAGGATATGCAACGGGAGCAGACACCCCTATTGGCAAACAGAGACGTGGCCAGACATCCACCCATAGAACTTAGGCCACATAACATATATGACCAGGTGACGGGTAACTGGGAAGGGAATGGCGAGCTGGGGGCCACATCAGGTCTCGCACACGGACATCTTATGTATCATTGCAATCTGATGTAAAGTTTTCAAGTGTGTTAGCTCTAGACAAAAAAATAAAATAAAAATGTTTTATCCCTGTACAACTGAATCGCACCACGGTATACTGTGGAGCACTGTAAATCCGGCTCCCAGCCTAACGTACCTAAACTTTGTCACAAATGCGATGACCCACAATAGAGCTAACATAGGACACAACACGTGTAAAGAGAGACAGGCACGACAGCGTATTCAGCACAGAGGTGTAGACGTCACAGCGAGAAGCACCATAGCAACCAAGCGGATAAAGCGGACCCACGAAGGGCCCACCCACACCCCAGCCAAACCTAAAACACCATCACAAACATCACAAACCACATACGTGCATACCACAGACACACCTACACCCCCTCCTCCCCCTCCCTGCTGTCCGTCCGTCCCCTGCGGCCGCCCGGATGATGCCGGCCCCGGTCCCCAGCGTGTTCGCCAGGGAGGACTTAAATATAATCTCCTACAATGTAAAGGGCCTCAATGTTAGAGAAAAACGCACAAGACTCCTGAGGGACCTGAAACAATACAGGACGTCGATAGCGTTCATCCAAGAAACGCACTTTCAGGAGAACAGGGCCCCGGCACTGAAGGACCGAAACTTTCGAACGGGGTACTTCAGTAACAACCCAGATAGACGAACGCAGGGAGTATGCATACTATTCTCCAGCAGAATCCCGTACATAGAACAAGCCACCCTTAGATGCAAACAAGGCAGATATATTTTCACTAAAGGCACTATCTCAGATCAAACCTACACATTCGCCAACATCTATGCCCCAAACACGAAACAATACCACTTCCTCCGGAGCACTGTGGCTTCCCTGATGAAGTTTACGGAAGGCACCCTGATCATCGGAGGAGACCTAAACCTGGCACTACACCCGGATCAGGACGCCACGTCCCCACAAGGAGCAACACCGCAAAACAGACATGCGAAAACACTCCGCCTCCTACACCAACACCAGCTGGCAGACTGCTGGCGAGCATTGCATCCAACTGCCAGGGACTTCACCTTCTACTCATCGGCACACTTAACATACACAAGACTGGGTTATTTTCTAATGACACACCATAATCTGAACCTACTAAATGCCGCGGAGATCCTGCCAATGACCTGGTCGGACCACTGCCCGATTCGAATGCGGCTGAAATCGCCGCTATACAGGCCCCGGCAGATGTCATGGAGACTAAACGAATCGATCCTCTCGGACGTGGTAGTGACAGATAAGATTAGTAACTCCATACGAGAATACTTCCAAACCAATGAGACAGAAGACGTAACGCCACTAACATGCTGGGAAGCACACAAGACGGTAATCAGAGGCCAGATCATCGCGCTATGCGCAACCCGCAAGAAAGCAGCAATGCAGGAAACGCTCGAGCTTAACAGAGACATCGCAACCCTGGAGACCAGACACAAACGCACCTTGGACGCAACGACATACCAGGAACTCACGGCCAAACGAAACCAACTCACCGCACATCTCAATCGAGCAATTCAACGTTCATACCAGCACTACAGACACATGATACATGAACACGGGGATAAATGCGAAGGCTGCTGGCAAACCTTCTGAAACAACGTAAAACCCAACTGTACATCCCAAAGATCAAAGACACGCAGCAACGACTTAAGCACCTCCCGGACCAGATTGCGACAGAATTCCGCACATATTACCAAGGCCTATACCACCTCAGACATGAACCAGGAGAATCGCAATCGAGCAAACTCGCTGACGTACGCAGATACATAGGCTCGGCGCATATGCCAGAAATATCAGAGACGGACCGAGAAGCACTAGAAGCCCCCATCACGCCGGAAGAATTGGCGTATGCCATCAAGAAGGCAAAAACGGGCAAGGTACCAGGGCCAGATGGGCTACCCCTTCAATACTACAAAGTTTTTACACAAGAGGTCGTGCCGCACCTACTGAAAGCCCTGAACTCCATACAAGAGGGAGCCACACCAACCGCGCAATTTACCTCGGCGAATATCACCCTACTCCCAAAGGAAGGAAAAGACCCAACACTATGCTCAAGCTACCGCCCAATATCAGTACTGAACACCGACATCATGCTGCTGGCCAGCATACTGGCACTACGACTAGCACCATTGCTACCGGCCACAATACATCCGGATCAAACAGGATTCATCCCGGGCAGGGAGGTAAGGGACAACACTATCAGAGCCCTGAACATCATAGCGCACGTCAGAACCCAACAGAACCAAACCCTTCTCTTATCTACAGATGCGGAGAAGGCATTTGACCGGGTGGACAGGGACATGATGATGGAAACCCTCCACGCCGCGGGAGTGGGACCGAGATACGGCATATGGGTGAGGGCGCTATACACCGACCCGACGGCACGAATCAGGATCAACGGTGCACTAACGGACCCATTCCAGATACACAACGGGACTAGACAAGGCTGTCCACTATCACCATTATTATTTGCACTGACGCTGGAGCCGTTCCTCAACAGGATCAGGCACAATGACGCCGTCCAGGGGCTTACCATCGGAAACACACATCACAAAACGCTAGCATATGCAGATGATATGCTGTTCGTGGTCACGAACCCAGAAATGTCCCTACCAGCGATACAGACAGAATTTGAGGAATACGGACGAATCTCAAACCTACAAATTAATTATTCAAAATCAGAGATACTGAATTTGACCGTCAAACACACGGACAGACACACACTGCAGAGACGCTACCCATACCGTTGATGCGACCAACGCATGCGATACCTGGGGGTTTGGCTTACACCCAATCCGGCGGACCTGTACACCCAAAACTACCTCCCCATTTTGAAAAAAGTGACGGAGGAACTGCGTAGATGGAGCCCATACTACATCTCATGGCTAGGGAGGATAAATGCGGTCAAGATGACACTGCTACCCAAACTGCTCTTCGTGTTTCAAACTACCGATACAAGCCCCACAAACATTCTTCAAGACATTGAAGGCAGAGGTCCGCACGTTTATATGGAAGGGCAGACCCCCGCGCATAGCATACACCCAGCTCATTTTACCCAAACTCCGAGGAGGTCTAGCGCTTCCCGACTTCGAACGCTACTATCACGCAGCACATCTTACACGAGTCATAAGCTGGACGGTAGCCAGTGGCACAAAACCATGGACCCAACTGGAATCCGACACCACCAACTGCGACCTCCGGACACTGCCTTGGATATCCGCCGCGGCGTACAGGCGCAAACGCATCACAAACCCCTTTGTGGCGGCAACCATGCGGATCTGGCACAGGCAGGGCACAAAACACTACCTGACGACGGATCCAGGCCCGCTGCTGCCACTAAGGGGCAACCCGGACTTCCCAGCAGGCGACCTTGGCCCCACACCGGGCCCAGCAGGACACCCAACAATTCCTCGCATGACAGACGTCCTGGTATGCCCGTTCGACATACGGCCGTTAACAGAACTCTTCCCGGACAGACCACACACTTTCTCACACACATTAGCGAGAGCGCAAATCTCCCAATATGCTCGATCCATCCCGCAAAAACCATCCCTACTTAGGGAAACTACCCAATTTGAGAACCTGTGCACACAGACCACGGAAACACCCAGAGCTATCTCACAGATATACACGATATTGATCACTTGTAGGTATTTATTGGCACCGCCCTGCATAAGAAACTGGGAAGAAGACCTAGATGAGACCATGTCGGAAACAGACTGGGACAAATGCATCACTCTCATACAAAAAACCCCCAGCTCTGCACGCCTGCAAGAAAACTCATACAAGATATTCACCAGATGGTATCTGACGCCGACAGCACTCCACGTCAGAAACCCAGATATACCAGACACATGCTGGAGATGCGGAGAGGAAACAGGCACGTTTATACATATCTGGTGGGCATGTGCACGAATCCGGCCCTTCTGGGACACAATTAGGGATATAATACACGAAGTAACGGACGAGACACTCCCGGGGTCCCCGGCCGCCTTTCTCCTCCACCACACCAACATGACCGCGCAGCCATACACCAGATCAGTGATACCGCGGTTGCTGAACGCAGCCAAAACAGTCATCCCCATCTACTGGAAGCAGGCGAACACACCCCCGATAACACGATGGCTAGAGGAAGTGGAAACCACTAGGAAATTTGAAGACCTAATGGCAAACACTCCGAAACTTCGAGACCGATATACCACACGCTGGTTCCACTGGATACGATTAACCGCATCAAACGACTTTCAACGCCGCCTGGCCACACGGTAACCAAGAATGATGAGACGGAGGGGGCTAAGGATGGGGTCGGGGCGGGAGGCAGAGAAGGGGGGCGGACAACGGCGGCGGTAGGGGACGGACACACGCATCCCCCCAACACCCTCTCCCCCCCCCCCATGTCAATCACCAGTTAAACCCAGAAACATACCTCGACAGACAGACACAGTAGCAAAATGAAACCTAAAGGCCTTACCAAGACACCCCCTCATAGCGAGACTGACCGACAACAACACCAGAATGAAGCGACCCTACCTAGAGCCACGAGACACTCAACCCTCAACAGACCCATGGACAGTCAAGACGCAGTGGGGGACAACACCGCAGACAACACAGAAAGGAAAAACACACATAGGAGACACGGAACCAAGAGTAGGCCACGCCACGGACACACACCCAACCGAAGCCCTTAAAACCAGACATAAAGGGGACGACCCATTAGAACACGAACGGAGACAAACGCAGGGCACACCTAGACACACATGACCAGGAAACACCAAACTGCATAAAGCAACAGATACCCAGACACACAGGGAGCAAACAAGCACAGGCACCAGAACAAATAGAATAAGATTAGGCAGAAACACTCACAACAATGTACGCAGGCGCAGCGGTAATATAGCAACACTGCAAGCCATACAGATGTAAAATGCGAGTAACAAATTGTGAATATTTCTGCGGTATGGTACACGCAAGGACCATCCAGCCTCAATGTAAGGCGACGGAATGCCATCAAATGTATGAAATGCAACCTGACGCCCCTGCGTGGGCAACCTCTGCCCCACCACTCACGAAGATGCTACCCACACGGGTGCTATGACAGCACTACAAATACTCAAAATAATCCCACAAACACATAGAAACTACACGAACCAGTCAACGCAAGATAATTACACGAACATACCCCACCACTTCCTTCAGCGTATCAATACACAAAGATGCATGTTAGCAGGCCATGAGCCACTAATCGACACTAACACAGCTATACACATATGCCAATAACACTAACACACGGCAACACCAAACCTGTTAAACGAAAATGAAAAATCTAATCCTGCAGAACATAAGTACCCCCACATTCTGTCAGGACATGGCTACTTTGAATTATTCATGCACCGAAAACAACGCCTCTGCGAAGGCGGTTAACCACTTAACCACATATACGTTTGCAATGGAATTTATGTTATAAACCAATCAACATATTCAAAACAAAGGCAATACCAAAACCGCCTCTGCGTAGGCGACACAATGCTTACATTATTATATGTTGACGCTTAAGCCCCTGCGCGGGCATATACCTGCTTTATCACAAATCAGTTTGACATATGCGATTATATTGTGAAAACAATAAAAATATTCAAAACAAAGAGCTTTTGGAAGAAGTTTCTTAACCTCCAGAACTATTTAGGAGGATCCTTGGTTTGGTGATCCTGTCTGGGTAGCCGGTTGTAATCTGTAAAGATAAACAGAATAAATATAAATAAATATAAGTGAAAAAGAAAACAAACACACAAAATTACTTTAATTAGAAAATTCCCAAACCAGAGAAATACCCTGCCACCACCAGGCAATAGAAATAAACCTGGGGAGGGAGGGATGGGCGCTTTGCTAGGTGGTTATGCTTATCCCTAGGACAAAGAAAGTTTGCAGGTCATCGATTCCTGCAAACTATAGTTTGTCCCTCCGGAAGGTATCACCACCTAGCAAAGCTAGTGGGTTGAATAGCACGCACCTGGTGGTGGTCCCAAGGAACTGTAAACGTTCCACTTCAGTTGGCCTCCAGTAAAACTTAATGAAAGTCTTACTGGAAGACCATCTTGCAACTTTAAGGATAATAGGAAGAGGAAGGCCTCTAGCAGCTGCTTTTGAAGCTAAGACCCCTCTGATAGAATGACCCGTAAAAATCGTGACAGCAATACCCGCTGCAGACATAGCGGACAGTATCCAACCCCTGATTGTGTTAACCTTAGCTGGCCGAAAAGGTTTTCTGGAGGTGATAAGTAATTGCGTAAAGTCTTGTCTGACTGGGGCAGAAAGATTCAAGTATGAATTTAACAAATTAACTAAGCATAAACTCGGCTCAGCAGAATCCTGCACCAAATCTAGTTCTAAAGGACCCGGTAAAATATGGGAAGTTTTCTGTCTCCCTTTAAGGGTGACATGAAATCCCCCAGGAGTTCAAGACAACCATGGTTCGACAATATTTAGCTGTGTTAATTCTGAGCCTCTAGCTGCCAGAGCTAAAACTAGAAGGGATGCCAATTTAATCGCCATCCATCTTAGGTTAATCTGGTCATTGTCCAAAGAATTAAGGTAGTTTAATAAAAGGTCCACATCCCAAGTTGAAGTGTATCTCGGAGTAAAAGGCCGGCAGACTGATAGTCCTTTGAGTAACCTGAGGTAAAGGGCGTCTTGGGTCAGATTAGTGATTCGAAAATTTAATGCAGAACCATACGTCTTAATCATACTGACTGCTAACCCTGAATGATATTTGACCGTGAGGATTTCCAAAGCTAAGGGAATTGTCTCAGATTCATGGGAAAGGGAATTAAAGGAAACTTCCCATGCTTTAAATTCCTCGATCATCTGTTTGTATCTTACCCTGGTCCTGCGCCGTCATGAAGAATTAACTATGTCTAAAACCCGGTCAGACAGAAGAGGATGCGTTAAAAGCCTACCAGAGCTGCCATCCACATAAGTTGGGGGAGCTTGGTTAAGAGATCCCTGGTCCCTAGGAAGCAATCTGCTGTCCAGCCTAATGGAACCTTTGGTCCCCTGATTAGAGGTTGGATCAGGGGGTACCATGGTCTGGAGGTCCAAATGGGGTACACTAAAACCAGATTGGTCACCCTGTCCCTGCGAAGTTTCTCGAACACCTTCATCAGAATAGATGGAGGGGGAAAAGCGTAAAGGCCCGGAATATCTGTCCATTGGAAGGACATCGCATCCATCTTCCAAGCTCCTTTTGTCCAAGTCCTGGTTACAAATTTGTGAGTCTGAGCCGAGGTCTGAGATGCAAAAAGATCTATCTGTCTCTTGCCCAGTCTGCTCTCTATCAGCTGAAATAAGGCACTCTTTAACTGGACTGTAGCAAGTGACAAACGCTGGCGGGACAGGGAATCCGCCAGTTCGTTTGCCTCTCCTGGTACGTGAACTGCCAAAATTCGAACTTTGTGAACCAGAGCCCAGTACCACAGGTCCAAGGCCTCTAGGCAAAGACCTTTTGACCGTGTGCTCCCTCTGTGGTTGACATAAGCTACCGCTGTCCTGTTGTCTGATTGAACCATTATCGACACACCTAGGGGGTTCAACGGAACGAGGCCTTGGAGGGTTAATTTGATTGCTCTCAACTCTAGTAAGTTTATGTGGAGAAGTATTTCTTGAAGTGACCAAATCCTCTTATTGCGCCTTGGGCAGAAAAAGCACCCCATCCCTTGGTAGAAGCATCTGTAGTCAAGGTTAACTCGAAAGGCCCTTCCAGAAGGGGGCAAGGAAGTGGACTTGCCCCTTCCAATATCTTGTTTAGCTCTTTTCTGACACTCGTGGGAAGGACCACCCTTGACCTCCACTGGCCACCCCGTCTCAGTTGGTTTCCTAGAAACAGCTGACTTTGTCTGCATAGCAAGGGGGAAGCATCGTAACCCGGTGTTAATGCTATCAGCCTACCAATAGTCTTTGCTATATCTCTTAGGGACCATCTGTGTTTTAAAAGAGCTGAAGTTATCTGAGCTAGGATTTTTTCCCACTTGTCTCGGGGAACACCCAAGGTCATATCCATAGTGTTCAGCACGAAACCCAGAAATAGGATATTCTGAGTAGGGACTAGTATGGATTTTTGCAGATTTACAATAAACCTCAGGTCCTGTAATAAGGAAATTAGGTAATCTCTCTGCTGAACGAGAGTATCTACCTCTGGATTCAACAACAGGATCTAAGTAATAAAGGCATAGAAATCCTCTTTGCCTGACGTGGGATATAATAGCTTTCATTATCCTGGAAAATGTGTAAGGTGCATTGGATAGGCCAAACACCATTACAGTCCAATGATATATCTGTTCCTTCCAGCGGAATCTGAGAAAGCGTCTGTGTTTCATAACGATAGGAACTGAATGGAAAGCATCTTTGAGGTGTAATTTTATGCAGAAGACATTTTTCTGCACTAGGCTTAGGAGGTCAGTTAAACCTTCAATCCTGAACCTTTTCCTCTTTAGGAAAGCATTCAAAGCCTTAACGTTTAGTACTGGTCTCCATGTGCCGTCTGATTTTGGAATAGGGAACAAGGGACTGATCCAACCTGAAATTGACAAATCTGCCAATTCTATTTTTCCCTGAGCTAATGCATGGGAAAGAGAGGAATCTAGAACTGGATTTACCTCTCTACCCAGAGCTTGACTCTGGAAAGGAAACTGAATGAGAGGGAGTTGTAAACCCCTTTTGAAAATCTGAAGCACCCATTTGTCTGAGGTTATACTTGACCAATTTTGAGGGATGTGGGGTATTCGGTTTCCTGATGAGCCATGTCTGGCATGGGCTCCTCTGCTACTGCCTGGGGGTCTTGACATCCCCCCATGGTGACAAAAGTGGGCTTGCTGAGTAACTTCCCTGGACGAGCCTGTAGGAATGACCCTCAATCCAAAAGGGCTTCTTGAAGCTTGGAAAGCTCTTCTTTAAATCAGAGAAAGATTTCCTAGCTTTATATCGTCCTTTCACTTCTTGTATAAAAGAGGGGCCAAATAGAAAGGAGTTTTCAAAATTAGGGGATTCATGTGATTTTGGTGCTAAATCAGACATCCCTGCTGCATGCAGCCAGCAGGTTTTGTGAATGTTAAAAATATAATTGAAGGATTGACCGATAATAAGCACCGCTCTGCTGGAAGCTTTTAGAAGTGCCATCTTAGAAGCAAGTAAAGCTGGTAGGGAAGGGTTATGAGAGGATCCCTCCAGTGGCGTACTAAGGGGGGATGGGGGGTGGTCCACCCCGGGTGCCATCAGGC